TGTACTTATTTATTTCATTTTGTCACATTCCGTCCTCCATACACCAGCGCTGTTAGCGCAAAATAATACAAAACATCATGATCTGCGCAAACTCCGCCTGCTTTACGCGCCATTAAGTACGCCGGAGTTCAAATGGTGCGGAGCCCCAGCCGGTGAGGGTTGTCCGTGCAGCGGCTGAGTGGGAGGTGACGGTGTTAGTGTTTTGTCTGGCGGAGCCTCACGGCGGCTGCGGGTGTGACTACCAGCGTTATAAATCTCTACAAAGAATGCGCAATTACTGCAGGGATTACGATTAAGTAATTTGTTTTAGGGAAGACAGTCCTCAAAACCGTTCAAAGCGGTGAACGTGAGTCGCCGTGTCAGCGGGGGATGTGTGCGCTCGGTTTTCAACAGCTGGATGACTTATTTTAATTTAATTTGAAATTTGTGTTTTCTTGTCTTTAACCTGCTCGGACGATCCGCTTTGGGGAACTAGTTGGAAACTAGAGGAAAGTTACTAAAGTTTAGTTTTTTTGTTTGTTTTTTTCCCACAAAAGCTGACCAACTAAGAGATTTAATAGATAGATTTATTTGTTTAACGTTCTCCACGTCGTTGAAGGAAATTAATTAGTTTTTATATAAATCTTCTCAAAGAACGGACTCGGTCGCAGCTCACCAAAAAAAAAAGGAAGTCGTCTTGCTCAACTTCAGCTCCTGCTGTTGAACCAGAAGGGGGATTTCAGAGTCCGTCGTCATATTTTATTTTCTCCTGGTACTTTTGCCGCTAAAGCTGCAGACCTGAAGCGAGCACTGGGAACCATGGGCTGCACAGTTAGTCAGGAGGACAAAGCTGCGGCCGACAAGTCCAAAATGATTGACAGGAAGCTGAAGGAAGAAAAAGTCAAGTCGCAGAGAGAAGTCAAACTGCTGCTGCTGGGTGAGTACTTGTCACAACTCGAACCCCGGGTTGCAAAAGTTGCTACAACTTGTGCAATTTTAACATCTGAGCAGACAAGAAGTCACTGAGTAAGTTACTGTCAGGACTTGTTTGCTTGCTGTAACATGGTTTCTTTAAACCTTTCGGCTGTCATCCGCCTCCATCTCTGTCCTCTGCATCCTCTGCCTTCACTCCAACTACCTCCATGTCCTCTCTAACTGCATCCATACATCTCTTTCTTTTTCCTGGCAGCTGCATTTCTGACATCCTATACCCACTGTCCCTCCTCTGGACATGTCCAAACCATCCCAGTCTGGTCTCTCTAACTTTATCTCCCAGTTGTTCAACCTGTGCTGGACCTCTGATGATCTCATCCATCCTTGTCGCTCCTAAGAAGAACATCAACATCTTCATTTCTATCACTTCCAGTTTTTTTTTTCTCCCGTCTTTTTGTCAACGCCACTGTCTCCAGACCATACAATATAGCTGGTCTCACTACTCTCTTTTAAATATTTCCTTTGACCTTTGCTGACACCGTTTTGTCGCAAATCACTCCTGAAACTTTTTTTCCATCCACGCCTCTCTTCTTCACATCTTTGCCCCATTCCCCATTTTCCTGGACGGTGGACACCAAGTACTTGAAGTCCTGCACCTTTATGACCTCTGCTCCTTGTAGCCTCACTGTTCCACCGGCCTCCCTCTCATACCTCCACCTCTTCAGGTTCTCTTCCACCTGTTCCCTGCGCTCACCACAGATCACAGTGTCATCTGCAAGCATCATAGTCCACGGGGATTCCTGCCTGACCTCATCTGTTAGTCTGTCCATCACCAGAGCAAACAAGAAGGGGCTCAGAGCAGATCCTTGATGCACTCCCACCTCCACCTTGAAGCTATCTATCACTCCTACAACATATTTGTCTCTTTCAATGTAACATGGCTTCTTTTTATGATTGTCTATTGTTGTCATCATTCTTTGTTAAAATCAGATCTCTCTTATAAATAAGTGACTGATGCTCAATGGGCTTAATCTGTATATATATATATATATATATATATATATATATATATATATATAAAGGTTGACACAACATCCATTTACAACCAGATTACATATTCATAAAAGGAGACCTGACAAGGTTAATGTCTTTCACCCAAGGAGACAAACTGACAGGATTTTGCGATGCTCATTTGACCTTTTCCTGGCGTTGTAACTTGTTGCTGTGCCTTTTTTTTAAATGGTTCTGCTTTGCTCTGACACTCCGAAATGCTTTGACACAAACAAAAGAGTTGCTCTGCAGCGCTAAATTTAGAGTAGCAGCAGCAGCAACTCTGTGGACTATTTCACTAAAGTAGAATTGACTAATCCTGGACAGGAAACGAAATCTGGGTTTGACCAAGCCTCGTCAGAGCACCTTGGCCTAACTGGTTTTACAAACACCAAACCAGGTTGAAGTGCTCCAGTAGGCCCACTGCTTCCCTCAAAGGCAGTTTCACTGACATTAATATAGACATGGCATCTTTTTCAGCTCATTTCAAAGGAAGGAGCAACATTACATGTTGCTGAGTATTTAAAGTCCATAAATTAAACTGAGTTAATCAAATAAGTACAATGTCTTCTTTATGTTACTGACACACAATCCAGGTCAGGGAGGTTTTAGTTTGAGTGTGAAGACATCACACTAAGCATTTTTGTTTTGACTATTTGTTTTAATGGTCCAAAGAAATGTCCAAATTCCCCGCCAAGTTTAAAATATGTTTGCCGGTATTTATAACAAACACAAAATACATATTTATGCCACTAGCTGGTTGTCCTAAAGTAAATTCTGATAGAAAAAGTCTCTTACTTCCCCGAAACACTGATCCAAAACATTTGTTTTACTTTGTCCATTCCTTGAAGTAAACATCTGGACCACTGGGCTGATTTTTTTTTTTTTTTTTTTTTAGCCTTCTGGAGCTTGATTTAGTTTTGGAAACAGTCCGTGCAGCTCATGTGTTTTAAAACAGTTTGGTAGTCACAGGATTGACTTTCGTCTTCTTTCCTGCCAGAGCACAGGAAGTTGATCTTGGACTGACGGTAAACCTGCAGTGAATTCTTTTTCTTCTTCTCCTGGATCATTGAAGAAGAGGTGGATGGTTAATCGGTTTGAAGGGTAGTTACACCCTCGACTCTTGAGCAAGATATTGTATGAATAATTACAATACGGTGCAGTCAGTGAGGGTTGAGAGAATTACAGGAGGGTAGGCCTGTCACGATAATAAATTTTGTTGGGCGATTAGTAGTCTCAGAAATTATTGCAATAAACGATAATATAGTTTGAAACTTGACAACAATTAGTAATTATTGTCAAATTTAAGAAGACATGTTGGTTAATTTTTGTGTGTAGTACCTTTTTTCGACCACCGGATGGCAGTATAAGATTGTTTGAACCAAAGGATAAATAGTGAGCAAGCGTCTAAGAAAAATGGGAGAGAGGCCCCTTGACATGACATGGGCTGTCTCTTGTTCCTTTTTTTTGGTTCTCAAAATGGTGGACGCTCGGTGTGGTTTGAGCTCTTTAGCATAGCATTTTTCACACAAAGCTTTTAATAAAAAAAATCAGTAAACAAGTTCTCAGCCTCTTTTTGCAGAGAAAAACAACTTTTAGACGAAGGCTCGGGTTTCAACCGTGAAATTTGTGGAGCTTTGACAAAACGGAGGGAGTTTTTTTTCCCCGAGGTCGGCCTGTTAGCTTAGCTCGTAGCGTAGCTTAATGATCCAAAAAAGTGATTTTGGACGGTTAAAATAGATTTTAAAGAGAAAAGTGAAATGGAGGGGTCAGTGAAGAGCACCGGAGTTGAACCTTTTTGTCATCCAGTGTCTTCAGTAGAAAGAGAGAGACGTGAAGAAACGATAAAGTCGATAAATGAAAATGAGGTTGTTAATTTTCATTTGTCATGAGATTAATTGATTTATTGTTGATTGCGACAGACCTACAGGAGAGCTCTGAATCTAAGATGAGAGTTTGTGAATTTGTGCCGTCTTCAGGCTACGTCGGGCAGCTCTGCACTGTCGCGGTTTAGAGTTGCAGCTAAAACAACTATCGGCTGGATTAATGAGTGATGAAGTGTTACATACACTGGAATGGCCAACTGTAACACAGTTGATGCTAACGAAGCAAGAATTCATGCCACCATCTTGGTAGGTGCTACATGGGATGCGTTATTGCTGCCAGCATGGGAGTAAAAAAAATAAAAATAAATTGAGGCAAGGATACATACATGCAGCCAAGCAGCCTAAGGTTTTGCCAATATTTGTTACATTTTTTGGAACCAGCATTTCAAAGAATCACATCTATCTTTTTTTTAATGCCCGTCTAATACACTGTGATATTATACAAATTGATTGAAAATTTCCATCGCCGCAACAGATTTCCATCTTTTGAATGTGGCGAGGATGGATTTCTGTCATCTGTAAAAATGAGGAAGGGGTGGGGAGTGTGTGTGTGTGTGTGTGTGTGGGGGGGGGGGGGCAGGGCAACAAAACATGTGTTCTGTTGTGGTCTTGTTAAAACCATCCATTCTAGTAATGATACTGACGCTGCTTTCAACCAATGAACAGAACCAGAGCCACAGTTTGACCCAATCAGAGCAGAGCAGGGCGGGTCGTGCTGTCTGGTTCATGTTGAGCCCGGGTGAGAACAGCAGAGAGATGTTGCAGGTGAAAGGTCACCTGCAGCAAACCAAAGGAGGACACCCCACTACCCAAACAGAACCCTCCACCCCATCATGAAGGTGATGACGTGTAATAAATTATTAAACATCTACGTCTTTAACGTATGTGTTCCCACGTAACCAAGTCACTGCAGCCAGGGGCGATACCTGAACTGATACACCATCACCCCCACCCAGAGAGAGAGACGTGCGCCGCCACGGGAGCGCGCAGCCTGTTGAGTTTCTGCTGCTTTAGTATTTCTCAATAAAGATTAAGACGAATATATAGATACCACATAGTAGAGATGTGTGTCTCTGTTTAACTTTTCTTCCCAAATTCACAAAGTTCTCACTGTGAAAGTCAGTTTCAAGTGATCTGCAGCTCAAGGGCAACCTGAATGGAAACTTCAGGTCCTTGGGTTCCAAAAACCAAGCTGGAACTGGGCTAGGATGTCCAACTCCAACACTTTAAGCCCGGAGCGGAACCCATGTTGGGCCAGGATAGGCCTTAATGTGCATAAGGGTGCAAACTTTTGCTCTCTCAGTACTTTCCCAGTAACACATCCCAGGAACAACCTCTGACTCACGGTGTCAGTTTACAGCCAATAACAGAGACTTTAACATAAATGCCAAACCTGAACAGGACATTAACAAAAAACAACTTATTTCCACACAGAAACATCGTAAACAGTCAGAAACATTGCACACATAATTTCCACACGACTACCCAGCATCCTTTGCAGCTCAATGGGATGCGACTCTCACAGAGAGAGCTTTGTGGTCCAGATGAAATGATTTAACCTTTTTTTGTGTTATCTACCTGGATGATTGAGCCTGCAAACCTTTAAAAAAACAAAAAAACAGACGCACATCTTTGCCCTAATCTAAGGCATACAAATATTTGTCTTTTAATGTTAATGTTTAATTGTAAGAACTAAATTAGCAGAAACATGAGATGAAAGGCTGCACACTCCCGCCGCTCTTGTTCTCGCTCTCCGCTCTCGCTCTCCGCTCTCGCTCTCCGCTCTCGCTCTCCGCTCTCTCACTTGTGAACTGACGGTATTACTGTAATTGTGACTGCCTGCTCTCAGAATTAAACACCAAATGGATTTATTACCAGGGGCATATTGATGATGACTCACAATAACTTTGTAGTTAGTTTTTAAAATAGTTAACCACACAAAGGATAGCTGAAGTGAGTTAGTTCATTATAATAAATGGCACAAAGGAGACGTCCGACACATTTAATGCATCACACTCCGCTTCAGCTCCGCAGAGTTCTGCTCCGTCTCTTTTGGTTCCGCTCTAAGCTCTCCTAAACGAGACAAACGCTTCACCTGTGATTTATGAACCATTAGAGGAAGGGCTGGTCTGTGCAGCCATTGTCTTTTGAATGAGCCAAACATTTGCCATGCAGGAGAATAGCAACATGTTGGTCATTCAGGGCGTATCAAAAATGGTCAACATTTTTTATTTATTTAGAAAAGCGTACAACAGTCCTTTAATATAAACATCATTTAGACACATAATTATATCTCTGCTGCCATGTCAGTACAGTTACAGTGGTCCCTCAGTTATCACGGGGGTTGCCTTTGCCATACCACCGCGATGGGTGAAAAACTACAAAGCTACTATTTTAGTATTTATATATATTTTAAGTCTTTATAAACCCTTCCCACACTCTTGCAATGTTCTAAACTCTTAAACCTACGTCATTTTAACAACACATGTATTTGAACTGTAGAGTACAGTAGTCCCTCATTTATCATGGGGGAATCCATACCCTGAAGCCCCATGATAAGTGAAAAACCGCGAAGTAGGGATACTAGTGTAAATAGTAGTTTATTTTAGTGTGTGTATGCATGTGTGTGTGTATATATATATATATATATATATATATATATATATATATATATATA